TTTCATTGAAAGATTTCTGAGTGACTCTTGTATCTGTCCTCAAGAGTGTTTGAAAAATTTGTTTTGAAAGCTTTTGAGAGTGCCAGTGTGAAAAGATTTTTGGATTTGTTTTTGAAGAGAGCAAGTATCCACGAGTCATCTACCTACCCTAAGGAATTAGGCTGTGTAAAAGTCCTTAAGGTAGTGCCATCCCACCATTGAGAGGTAGGTAGCACCACCGTTGGAGGTGTTCGGGTCAATTTGATTGTAGGGACAGTGTGGTCACCGAAGCAATAATAGGACACCTTAGAATCTACCCTTATGTCCTAGATCTTTTTTTTAATCTGAGGCAACCGTTTCGAGGCAACTGTTTCGAGGAAACTGGATCTTGGACATAAGAGCAACCGCTAAAACGTCATATACTTGATGACCACGTTTCGAAGGCAACGAGTGAGGCGTACCCTAGAAGTGGTGTGTGTTGTTTTCATGTTAATATTTATCTTTTATCATGGCATTGTGAGCTACGCATTGTTTTTAATTACCATACATTCTTTCATGCAAGTTTAGCAGTTAGGAGTGCGGAAAATTAAAAGACGGAAAGATAAAAGCTACGCTATTACAAGGCGCGGGTCTATACATCGCCAAAATATAAAGACCCGTTTTTGATAAAGATGCGGAAAGTAAAAAAATGCGGTAAACCTAATTACTATTACATCCGGAAGGCAGTTACATAATAATTGATAAGAAAAATAACGCGCGAAAAGAAATAAACTGAACATCCGAGGGTTTTGACCCTTTGCTTGAAATTAAATTGAATTAAAACCTAATTAATTATTTAATTTAAGAAAGAAGAGAAAGTGTTTTTGTGTTTTTTGTATTTAATGAAATAAAGAAAATAAAAATTAAAAGGAAACCCTAATTCTAAACTATTTTAATTATTAATGAAAAATATTAAAGTTAACCTAATTTAAACTAATTAATTAATTTACATATTTATGTACAAAATAATGATGATAATAAATAATGATGAAAATAATTAATTAAGAAAAGATAAAAAATGTCAAAAACCTAATTCTATGTATTTTTTATTTATTAAGAAAAGTATTAGAATTAAAACCTAATTTAAACTACATTAGTTATTAGAGTTTATTTACAAAAATAAATTAGTGAAGAAATTAATAAATAATTAAGTATATTTTGTATTTTGATTTTCTGTTTTTTATTATGGAAAATTATTTTATGGTGAATTAATAAAAACAATTAAAACAATTAAAAAGAATTAGAAAGAAAAGAAAATTAAATTGAAAAAGCATGCAAACCAAGGGGGGTGTCAGGTCCAAAGTGGAGGTGTTTGTGAGGAATTCTGGCCCATTAAGACAAAGCTCGTTTGACTTTTCATACTTGTGTACGTGCTGGTTGACTGGAGTGCACCATGGATTCCATCTCCTGGTCTTCAGATTGCTCATCAAAGCCACTTGGCAAGCCAGCGCGTGAGGACATATGGTGGACCATTGAGTCATTGCTGCATTGGAATTGGTTAAGAAAAATAACAACAATTATATGGGGGACCTGGGAATCGAACCCAGGTCCCAATGTTTGGGAGGCACGTCCTCCACCAACTGAGTTGTGAAACGCATTTGTACATATAATAGACAACAAATGTAATATATGAAAAAAGCCGGTTATGCTGAAACATTTAAAAAACGCGCTAACATTTGAATATTCCAGTAGCATGATGCCACGCGTGCTTCTTCTTCGTTTATACCTGCAACATGAACAAGATAGCGGGGGTTTTAAACCCCCACTAAGTGAAAGTGTGAAAAATAGCGATTACGCCCATAGATAATATAAATTGAGCGCGAGGTTGCCATTCAACTCGTATTGAGATCCTGAATTCAACTGCATAGGTCTCAGGGCTTGATTTTTCCTCTACAAGAAAGCCCTATTTTGAAGGTTCGAAAACCCTAAAATCCATTCATGGTGAATCGTGATCCTGTGAGTTTTAGTGCAATTAAACTATATCAAAAGTTTCAGGAAGGCGTCAGCAATACAAATCAACAAACAAAACATGTCAATGATGCATGGAAATTAGATTTCGATTATGAACATATTTGATCAAACCATGACTTTGTTTTACCGTTTCCCTGGGTATGAGAGCCTGTTCTTGGTTGCAATAGCTCCCTGGCAATGTCAGCAGTGTATTGGAAAAGATTTTAGGCCTTGAATTGCCCTGCAAGTATGAAATCAGTTTCACAATTTTCTTGGAATTTTTGCAACTTGGTTATGGATTCTCAGCAGCTTTTTCGTGTATGTATGAGTAGGGTTAGCTCTTGCATATGTATGTGATGTGAATTAGGTCAAGAATGAGCCCAAAAGTCCATGAATTAATGACTTGAATATTTGATTTCCTAACCATATCTTTTCCAATCTTTTCTTTCATGAAACCTTGCCAATCATGGATTTCTTTGCCTTGTTGATTGAGAAACGAATTGCCAGCTTGCCCTAGTCACATTTGCTGCACAAAAAGATCTAAAAAATCATATCTTTGAATTTTCTTATAATTAAAACCAATTAAATGAATTAATATAAATATAAATCCAATTAATTAATCAAAAATAAGAAAATAAATTATTTTGAGCTCAATGGGTCGTGCATAGGCTTTGGGTAATGATTCAAGGAAGAATTTGAGGCCCATTAGCAAATTTGAAGTGTTTTAGGCAAAGTTGACTTTTGAAAGTTCCCAAAAATTTCCCAACTTCTCTAATGCATATCTTGCTCAATTTTGAAGCTATGAACATGTTCTTGGACATTTTGGAAAGGTATTGAAGTCCTCTAACCAATGCCTTTGGTCCCATGTCATTTTGATTTACCAATCTCAAGTTATGGTCTTTGACTTAAAGTGCTTTTTTGTTGACTTTTGAAAATGACCTATAATGTTGAAATTGATAACTTTTTGTGAGAGCATTTCTTGGACTTGGAGTGTGAAGATGAGTTGTAGGAAATGTCATCCCCTTCAAAATTAGCATTGGATGGGATTTTTCTGATAAACCATGAGTAAGTTATGCCTTGGTCAATTTGCAGTTGACTTTTCAACTTTCCAAAAATAGAAACTTTTGCATCTTTAGACTTTTTGAGCCATGCTTGTGGAATCATGATCCAGAATTGATCAAATGATGATTGTGGCTTCAAAATAAGATATTGACCAAATTTTTTGACTTTTGACTGTCAAATGACCATTTTGCCCCTGCAGTTGACTGTGAAGTATTTAGGGTTTTTGACTGTGCAATTTGATGTTGTGAGTCTTGAAACTTGACATATGGATGATTGACAATGTATATAGGTATATGGGACTTGATTGGACCCTTGGAAACCTCAACTTCTTTGCAAGAACCAAAACCCTAATTTTGACTGTGTTAGGAGGCAATTGGACTGTGCAACCCTTGAGGGATTTTGAAGCTTGATCTTGCCAAATCTTGAAGAATATGGGAGAGCAAATTTTGGGGTACAACAGTTGCCCCTGTTCAATCTTCTTAGACCTGAGGATGTAGATTGGCTGGCGTGCCTTTCGTAATCTGAGGGTAGAAGATGATTGAACACTAGAGTGCCCAGAAATTTGCACTCGCATAGTAGAGTATCAGCAGTGTGATGGCGGGAATGGGCTTATAGATGCAATTTGGAAAGATGGTGGATAGGTGGATGGGCTTATAGATGCCATCTAGGTGTCGATCGCGTAAGAGATTCCTTAGCGAGAACTTGGGTACCTGAGAAAGAAAGATAATTACCTGGCCTGTTACAGGGGTTGATCTTTAAACTCTTCATGTAGATATGCCCTGGCTGGATACAGGAATCGAGTCCGGAAAATAGTCGTCAACAGATACACCCTGGCAAGATACAGGAATCGGATCTTCAAACTCTTCAGACGTGCCCTGGCAGGATACAGGAATCGTGTCTGGAATATAGTCGTCAACAGATACACCCTGGCAAGATACATGAATCTGATCTTCAAACTCTTCAGACGTGCCCTGGCAGGATACAGGAATTGAGTCTGGAATACTCTTCAGACGTGCCTTGGCTGGATGAAGGAATCGAGTCTGGAAAAAAGTCGTCAACAGATACACCCTGGCAAGATACAGGAATCAGATCTTCAAACTCTTCAGACGTGCCCTGGCAGGATACAGGAATCGAGTCTGGAATTAGTCGTCAACAGATACACCCTGGCAAGATACAGGAATCAGATCTTCAAACTCTTCAGACGTGCCCTGGAAGAATACAGGAATCGAGTATGGAATTAGTCGTCAACAGATACACCCTGGCAAGATACAGGAATCAGATCTTCAAACTCTTCGGACGTGCCCTGGCAAGATACAGGAATCGAGTCTGGAAAAAAGTCGTCAACAAATACACCCTGGCAAGATACAGGAATTAGATCTTCAAACTCTTCAGACGTGCCATGGCAGGATACAGGAATCGAGTCTGGAATATAGTCGTCAACAGATACACCCACTACTAAAAAAAAGACATTTGAGAAAAGGTTTTTACATCGGGTATCAAAATATATGATGTAAAAAATACAATTAACAAACTTTTTACATCAGGTATTTATTTGCAATGATATAAAAAATATGGAAAAAAATATATTTCGCTACCTATTACATCGGGCAAACGCATCCACCGATGTAAAAAGTTTTCAGAAAAAAATACGGTGGCATTTTTGTAAATAAGAAACAAAGTAGTAGAAATATTAATAAAAAACATGCAACATATTACATCGGTTGACTAAAAACCGATGTAATATCTTCACAACAGATATTAATATAAAAAATAAATTAAAGAATAAATTATTTTTTTTGCAACTTATTACATCGGGTATTACAAATGCACCGATGTAATAGGTGCATTGTAAAAAAAAAGTCAGAAAAAAAGCTTGCCAACCCTTACATCGGGTATTACAATGCACCGATGTAATAGGTGCATTGTAAAAAAAGAAATTCAAAAAGGAGGCAGCGTAACACAACATAACAATGCGCGAAAAGAGAAGAATAAGCCTTGTAGCAGGCTCATACGAACGCTTCATCTGGGGTTTCACTCTCAACCCCAACAAACAAACCCTAAACCCTCTCTTCTCCTACCCTTCCCATCTCTCCCTAATCAAATCCGTCGCCATCTCCGGTTCCGTCGTCGCCTCCAGCGGCTCCGACGACACTATCCAACTCTACAATCTCTCCGCCGCTTCCTCCCTCGGTTCCCTCACCCACCACTCCTCCACCGTCACCGCTCTCTCGTTCTACTCGCCTCCTCATCTTCCTTTCCCTCGCGATCTCGTTTCTGCAGATGCCGACGGTTCCCTCGCGATCTTCGATGCTGACGGTTTCGTTCATCTCAAGACACTTCCTGTTCATAAAAAGGCTATCAATGATCTGGCTCTTCATCCGTCCGGGAAGCTTGCCCTGACTGTTTCGCGGGATAATTGTTTTGCGATGGTGAACCTTGTTCGTGGTCGGAGGAGCTTTTGTTGTCGGTTGGATAAAGAGGCGTCAATTGTTCGATTTGATGCTTCCGGTGATTCATTTTTCATGGCTGTTGATAAGGTTGTTTCTGTTCATCAAGCGGAGGATGCTAGGTTGTTGCTTGAATTGCAATTCCAGAATCGTGTTTTATGCGCTGCACCTGCTGGGGTTTGTGTTTTCCACTGACATACTGTAATTAATGTCTCTGTTCTCATGCTTTTTATGTTATTCAAAGCAAGCAAAATTATGTTAAGTTATATTGTCTTTATTTTAATTCATTTGTGAGGTTTCTCTGCGTGATTTATAGTCTAGGTGTTAGTACAATAATAAAAGTCATAGTGAAAAGAAGCAAGTTTCAGGAATGGAAAATGAAAATAATATGGTTTTGCTGCTGAATGTTGTGTGATGCTGTTGTGAGGCTTGTGTATAAGTTGGATATGAATGTTAGGAGTAACTAAGGTTTTAAGTCACAGCCGAATCACCATAATTGATAATTCGTGGGAACCTGGTCAAATGTAAACCATGAGACTCAATTTCTTTCGGATGTGAAATATTGTGGTGTGAAACTATTTAATAAAACCCTATTTTATATAATAGGAAACAAAAAGAAAATTTATCATGTTTTATTCTTGCACAGGTTATACTCTACTGCATACATGTGCTGTAATTATTATGGAGAGAATTCATCAAAGTTATGGAGAGAATTCTCTTTGCTGTATTCACTTGTGTTCTAGCACTTGGTATGTTGCATTTTGCTTCTCTTCTTTATATCATGTATATGTTATTGTAAAAAGTGAGTGAAAATGTTGTGTTATGAACTCTAGGAGGTTCGATAATAGGAACAATAGGAGGAGCTATAAAAGGCCAAACCACAGAAGCTGGTTTTCTTGATGGAGCTTGCAAAGGAGCAATTGGAGGAGCCATTGCAACCATAGAGTTTATGAGTTAAGCTTCTGATGGTGAGTCATTTTCCAAGGTAAGATTTCTCATAGTACCAATATTTTCGTGTCCAACACTAACACTAACACTAACAAGACAATGACATATATCCGGATAGTGTTCAGAGTGTCGGTGTTAGTATCGTGTCTGGTATTCTTAATCTAACAGAGATAGTGTTCTTGTCACCTAAAAAATTTAGGTATGGAATTGCAGGTTGCTTTGTTGACAATTTTATTAAATGGAAAAGTGTTTATGGAATGGATATGTCCAACTGTGGCACAAGCTTATGTAAGTTTTAGTACTAAATGTTGAATACAATATTAGTCATGGGTTACATTTGATAAAAAAAAAGTTAAATGTTTTCAGATAAATTCAGTAGAAGCAGCTTATGGAGGAGTGGTTTCAGATATTTATGACAGCATGGGAGTTAAAGGGATGTCACAAACTTGTATTATGAAACTCCCATTTCATAAATTTAACTCTTCCGACAAAATTATGAAATTATACAATGAATCATGCTGCTCAATTTGCTTCCAGGTCAGAAACAAAATATCTTAACTTCTCAAAAAAGTTCATTTTAATCATTTATATATCATTTTGAGATTTTAGAAGTTTTCATATTTTACATAAACTTATGTTTTACATATTGATTTTGCAGGATTTTGAGAACGGAGAATTGGTGAGAATACTTCCAAAATGTTGTCACATTTATCATTTAGAATGCATTGACAAATGGCTAGTACAACAAGGATCGTGTCCTATTTGTAGAACTTATATTCTTCAATAGTTTTGTTTTTATTGTAAAATCTCTTTTTTTGTTCCAAGAGAGAAGCTATAATACCAAGCTTTAACTTTATTGTATGGTGGCGTTGAACCATTTGAGATGCAAACATGCGCTAAGCAATTATCCAACATTAATTTTGTCTATAAACTTCGTGTGTGGTAAATAGGTGTAATTTTTTTTTGGATTAAATATATTTTATTTTTGTAATATTATTGAGTTTTGATTTATAAACTTTGTAATATTTTATTTTATTTTATTTTTAAAAATGTGCATAATAACTGTTTCTTACATCGGTTCATATATTATAACCGATGTAAAAAGGGACTTTTTACATCGGGTATTACTTTCAACCGATGTAAAAAACTGGATCAATTTTTTTAAAAAATGTGCATAATAACTGTTTCTTACATCGGTTCATATATTATAACCGATGTAAAAAATGGACTTTTTACATCGGGTATTACTTCCAACCGATGTAAAAAATTGGATCAATTTTTTAAAAAATGTGCATAATAACAGGTTATTACATCGGTTAGGATATTATAACCGCTGTAAAAAAGGGACTTTTTACATCGGTCCCAGAACCGATGTAAAAAGTCCCTGATTTACTATATCGCCTGCCTTTACATCGGACCCAAAACCGATGTAAAAAGTCAATTTCACCCGATGTAAAAAGTCATTTCTGCACTAGTGACCCTAGCAAGATACAGGAATCAGATCTTCAAACTCTTCAGACGTGCCCTGGCAAGATACAGGAATCGAGTCTGGAATTAGTCGTCAACAGATACACCCTGGCAAGATACAGGAATCGGATCTTCAAACTCTTCAGACGTGCCCTGGCAGGATACAGGAATCGAGTCTGGAATATAGTCGTCAACAGATACACCCTGGCAAGATACAGGAATCGGATCTTCAAACTCTTCAGACGTGCCCTGGCCGGATACAGGAATCGAGTCTGGAAATAATCGCTCACAGATATTCCCTGGCTAGATACAGGTATCGAATCTGGAATTGCGACAATTGATAGTAGTCATCTTTGTATTGATCTTGGTCCTGAAAAGACAACACGTTAGTTGTATGCAATGTTATGATGTATGACATGCGTGATGTTCTCAGAATAAATGAGATTGTATGTTCATGATGCGTATGTGCATGCTATAATGTATGAAGATGTTATGTTTATGGATTTTTGTCTAGGAAAATAAATCCTTGACGGGTGCCGGGAAGTCAAATCCTGGGCTGCTGTGGAAGAGTAGAGCTTCTTCGTTTCCGCTGGGGATGATGGTTGCAAGAATACCTGTAGGAGAAGATGACTCCGTTGGGGAATAAACTTGGCGAATAGATTACTCTGCGGGGAGTGAACTCTGTGGGAAGAGAGGTACTTTGCTGAGACGTTGATGATAACTCCGCTGGGGATACCATTGTTGAGCTTTGTTGGAAGATTTGATGAACTCCGCTGGGAATAGGAAGATTTCACCGGGGACGATCTTTCCGTGGCAATTGGCTGAGGATAACCCAGTTATATCCTGGTGGGGAAATAACCTTTGAATAAAGTCGGGGGAGTGTTCATGCTCTGCAGAGGATAAGCTTCCAGAATCTACTGGGGATAAGCTTCCTGAATCTATTGGGGAGATTGATTGAATTCTCCTGGGGAGACTTTGGACTGCACTGGGGAAGTGGCTCTACCGGGATGTTTGGTATTCCGCTGGGGAACAATCTTAGATCAAGACTGCCGGGGATGCTTGTAGAGGAATATTTGTGTACTCCGCTGGGGGATATTGAGATCTTCTGGGGGTACCCAACTTCCATAAGGCTAACTGTGGACTAACTCTGCTTGAAGGGAGAGTATTGCTGACTTGCTAGGGGATACTGTGCCTTTTAGGGCTGATTGGAGACCAACTGCTTGGGAAGAATTGTAGAGTCTGGTCTTACTCCCGAGGAGTGGAGGCCTCTTGGTTATGTTCTTCAGCCGAACCTACCTTGGTACTTTGGTTGACATAGCAACTAGATCGCTTGGACAACTCATTATTGCCCCTGTTTCTGATGTGGGAGAAGAAGACAACTTGTGGAGGTGCTCGATAACTGCCGATTTGACAAATCTTCTTCTGGTAGGCAAGTGACGAGATGACGGAACATAGTTGTACGCTTTGATCCCTAATTTTTGCCTGGACCGCCCTTTCGGGTTTTCAGTCCACCGGGATACCCATTTTTGCCCAAGCCTCTTTTTCAGGTTTTCGACTCGCCGGGTGTACATATTTTCATTTTCATCCCTTATTTTTGCCCAAACCCGTTTGGTTTGCCGGGAAGCCCTTATTTTTGCCTAGGTGTGTCAAACTAGCGGGTCTTTGATTATGCGTAGTATTTTTCGACTATGTCCGTGCTCTCAGGATGTAGGGAGGTGCCCCTGTTGTTGTGTTGCCATGTGACCAGAAAATCTTCGTTTGATCAGGCAAGATTCATAGTTGGAATTCATGTCCAATGCCCCGGGTGACTCGGATGGAGATCTGCCTCTGGCTATTTGGCCTTTTAAGAGATTCTCTGAATCTTGACCTAACTGCCCCAGATGATGGACAATGACCATGCCGCGCCCTTTGGTTGGAAGTGCTTTTATTCACTAGATATTCGTCGTGCGAATTCATCTGCTGTTCAAACAAATAGTCATATGCAAGCAATGTTATATTAAAAATGCAAAGCTTATGTCTGTCTTGAAGTTTTTGAAAATGCATTTTTTTCAGTAAAACCAGTGAATTTTGTAAAATGTGATGTCAACTCGTTATTTTACCGCAAGCCTTAAGGAGTCAGGATACCTTTCGTAACAGTATGCTTTCGAACTAACCCATGCTTCAGCTAGGACTTTTAAGGGTTGTAGCGTGGCCTGGTTCGCGGTTTAAGAAACAAAGGATAAAGGCTCAAAATTTTTGTACCCACCCGCTCTTCGTGATGTTCTTCAAACCTAAACTCAGTTGACCGTGCGTTAGACCTTGTTTGAGTCTTTGCTTTGATATTCCGGTGATGGTTCAGATATTGACAATTTATTTTGAGTAGGCAGTTATTTCCTTTTTTTGTTGAGGGTTTGTAGGACCTCTTTCTTTTTTTTGATTTCGTTATCCCTGCTTTTTGCTAGAACTGTTCCTTTTTGTGATTACAGTCAGCGGGATGCCCCAGTTTTTGTAAGTCTCCTTCATAGGTTTTGACTTATTGGGCTTTTATTTTGAGGGGTAACGACTGCCTGTCTTTATGATTATTTGGAACCATCATCGTCTTTTGTATTGGAAGGAATCCTTTGATGCTATTCGCTGTGCACTTGGATCAGCTGAGAGAACTACCCTGCCCCAGGTTATGATTAAGGGTTTTAATTTTCGAAACGAAAACTCCTACTTCTTTGGCTCAAAGGGGTTGACGAGGGATTATCTTCCTTATAACTCCAGTGTTTAGGAATTGAAACAATGTCTGTACCTCATCAGCGGGGTCTGTTCAAAAGCATACTGTAGGTTGTGGTATCGTTTTCGTCATCCTCCCTCAAGAGGCTTAGAGTTATTAATCGAGAGTTGATCATCACAAAAAATATGAAAGCAATTTTGAATATAGAGAATGCGAATATATTGATTCAAAACAGACATATGCGATGCATTAATGAAATAACAGCGTTTGACATGATAATTGTTTGAACAATCAAAAGAAAATTACAACTTGAAAATTCTAATGGACAAAAAGTCTTCTCATCTCAGGACTTGTTACTTCAAATGGTGCATCTTATAGGGATGGTAGAAGAACTCAGCTTGACCCCCTTGGGTAAAATCCACTACTCCTTCATTAATCAGGTCCTGGACTTTGTTCTTCAGAGCCCAGCAGTCGGCAGTGTCGTGTCCAGGACTATCAGAGTGGTATGCACATCTTCTGTCGAGATGATAGTTAGGAGCAGAGATGTTGGGATTCCGGGGAGG